GCAGGGAGCCCGATGCGGGACTCGATCCAGGGACTCCAGGATCATGACCTGAGCCGAAGGCAGTCGCTTAACCGACTGAGCCACCCAGGCACCCAGGACGAACATCCTTTATACCTGCCGTCAGTCAATATCATGTTTATAACATCAATCCAAGTGTAAATGCTTTTCCTCTGTCCTTTGGTAGTTCTTAAGGACCGGTGCTGACAGTTCCCTCGGATACTTCCAGTTTAAACTTCATCTAACCATCTTGGACACACTTTCCCTTGCTCACACTCCCTTCACCTCATCCCACAGCCCAGAGTTTGTTCTCTGCCTGCCTCAGTCTCCCCCACTGTCGCCACCCACACCGATCCCATCTGAGAGCAATCCGAGCAACCCCTCTAGATGCTGTTTTCTGATCCTCCTTCCAAGAGCAAGGGCTAGCCCTGGGCATCCACAAGGAGCCCAAATACCAGACACCTCAGAGGCTGAGGCTGCTAGGGCACCTCTGTCCCCTGGCAGGAAAGATGGGGAGGGGAGGAGGAGAATAAGGGGGGCCTGGAAAGGAAAGGACTCAGAAAGGATGGCACTCTGGGCCCAGGGCATGTGAAAGCCTTAAGGTTTAGAGGGAGATAGGAAGAAATGATGACTCCAGGTAGCAGGACCTTTGCTTGGCTGCTCAGCCAGGGCCCCAGAATGCAAGCCCACAAGAATGGTGGTGGTCCATGGTGGATGGATGGATGGTTGGATGGAAAGATGGATGGATGGATGAATGGATGGAAGGAAGGAAGGAAGGAAGGAAGGAAGGAAGGAAGGAAGGAAGGAAGGATGGATGGATGAATGAATGGTTGGGAAGAATCATTCATGGTATGCAAAGATGCTCCTGCTGACTCACTACCATAGCTTAGGTGTTTTGCACTCTTTTTCTGGTGATGGTTTGGCTTTCCACTAATGAGAAGTATTTGTGGAACTGTTTGGGTCTACTTAAGAGTTTATATGGAAAGTGGCCATAAACCAGAGAGACTAAAACCAAGTAGCATGGCACACCAGAGGCTTTATCAAGTTACCATCCACTAATCGAGCAGTTCTCCACTCTTTTCTCTGGCTGCCAGGACACAGGGCTGGTGACACTCACACGCAAAACACCCTCCTATGAGAGGAGAAGCCCAAACTCTGCATGATTCCTAGATTTCTAGCTAGATGTCCCCTCTACTCCCCCACACACGCCTTTTCCCTGGCCAAAAAAGCATATGCAAATGTAAAAACAAGAATGCTGCTATTACAGGGCAGATCTTGCTCCTACTCTGTATCATTAAAAAGTAAATCACTTGCCATTTTCATAGCAAAATTTCATAGCAAGACCTGACAGCGATGTGAGGGTTAGGGTTAGGCTCATATCTCTACCTACAATTCTCATTTGCCAAGAAACCCCAAGGAGCCCATGGACACAGAGTCTGGGCCTGTGACCTCACGTCCCACAACCCCAGATGGGCCTGGCTGAGCCTGCAGCAGCAGCTCAGGTGTGCTGGTGCACGGCAGGTGACCCAGAGCAGACTTACCAAAACGGATTTGTGATTGGCTTGGAGCCTGGCGATGGCGTTTTCATTCAACCTGAGTTTCCGCTCCAGCTCTAACTGGGTGTCCCGAAGCTCAGCCTAAGAAGAGGGAAGAATGGCATTAAGGAGTGCGCACAGAATGTCCCCAGGAGTGATGGCGCTATCCGCTCTTCTTGCACGGAAAGGAGAATTTGACCTTGGGAGCTGCCTCAGAAGCCACCTGGAGGGCCCTAAATGGACACAAAGGGTCAGCTGTGTGCCAACACCTCCTGGGGCTGAACTCAGCATGATCGGCTGAATATACCCTGAGTTGTGTGGCTCTGGTCATCCCTTCCAGCATTTAGATGGATTACCTCCTATCACCCTGACCACACCCATGTTAGCTAAGTACCGTTATCCCCATTTCACAGATGATACAATCAAGCCACCTAATCAAGGTCACACCGTTCAACAGTGGAGTCCAACCAGCCAGTCTGCCCCCAAAATAACCTAACAAGCTGGAGCCAAGGGTGGGGACCCCAGCTTTTCTACTTAGCAGCTGATCCTTTGGAAAAATCTACTTAACGTCTCCAGACTTCCATTTTTTCACCTGTGAAATGGGGATAACTAAAGCACCCAACCCATGGGGTTTTTGTGAGGATTGAATGAGATAGCGTGTGTTAATGCAAACTTGCTCCAGTAGCTGGAACACTGTGTGTGCTCTACCAACGTCAGCCATCATGGGGGCCCTTCTTCTTGGTTACTGCTACTGATGAGGGAGCAGAAGGCTAGCTGAAGACAAAGCATAAGCTGACACCCTGCAACCTCCCCCCCACCCCCCACTCCTAGGTGGGACCTGTGTGACATTCTTCCAGGGATCTCCCAGCTATCTTAATATTAATACCTTGCTAGAGGGGAAAACAACCTTGACAATAGTGAGGGCTCAGGTATCTTGCAGGCTGGTCCTCTTTAGCAAATGAAAGTTCTTTTGAAACCTCTCTTTTACTTACTTCCCCCAACTCCCAAGTACATCATCACCACTCCTCAAGATCCCAGGGCAGCAGCTCTTTCTGCCCACGGGTCCTGTCCCCGTGCTTTAATAAACCGCCATTTTTGCACCAAAGACGTCTCAAGAATTCTTCCTTGGTCGTCGGCTCCGAACCTCACCCCATCGAAGCTCACCTATATTGCAAAACCACATTACTACCATGGCTGCTTTGCATCATGCACTCACGACTCCCAGAGGCAGGCAGAGTTGGCCCTCCAGGCCTGGGCAAGTGCCTGTCTGAGAACCTCAGGTTTGCCTGCCTGCTCTGACCCCACTACCTTCTCCACCCTTCCCTTTGGAGACTCCCTAAGCACCTTCTGCCAAGAAGTGTGCCAAGGCATGAGGCCTAAACCTTTGCAGCCTTCAAAGGCCCTCCAAGGGCATGAGTCAGCAAAAAAAGAAAAGAAGAGCTCTAAAGGCTTTCAATAGGTCATATCAGCATCGGAAGCTGCATGTTTGCACCCTGAGCGAACTCGGAGGGCATCAGTGGTCTCTGCTTTTTCCCACAGAAGCCTAGGGGGAATTCCAGGCCCCCTAGTGAGGGTAGCCCAGGTGGGTGGCTCACTCTGCAGAAGGCAGGTAACTTCTTAGTTTTGTTTTGTTTGGCTCAGGATCTGGGGTGCTGACTTGGAACTGAGGGAGCTCTGTGACCCCCACCCCCACCCCTGAAACCTGTTTGGGGGTAAGGGGAGGGTCTGGCCTATTTGGGGGCAGTCGTGGAAGGGGGGAAGGAAAAGGGGGAAATGTGAAGTGCTTGTTTAAAGGTGGTGAAGGGCACAACCGAACCCACCCTGGCAAGGGTCACGGGCAGCCCCAGCAGGATCCAGGGCCATGGGGAGACTCCCAGGGAGTAGCCAGGGAGGGGGCACTTTCCCTTGCCTGTAGATTGCCATAAAAGGAGAAAAGGACTCCTGAGTACCTAATGGGGACCTCTCTGAATGAGTCACCCCAAAGGAAGGCACTCCGGATTACTACAAAAGGTGGGGCCGCTTTGGGACACCTGTATCTCCAGTTATTCCTGTTCCTAGAAGACGACAGGATGACTCGGGCTCTGGCTTTAAGGTTTCCCAAGATACTGGCTATACACACATCTCAGGCCAGGGTGGACTCAGCACAAAAGCAGGAGAGTGGTGCCAATGAAGGCAGACAGCCCTGTATTGAAGGGCACGGTTAACTGCTCCCCAGAGACCCGTGAATACCTGCGGCTTGCAGAAACTTGGCTCCTGCTCTACAAGAAGATTGTGTCCCCAGGATGCTTCCAGTCCCGAATCTTCTGGAACTGAGGCTAAGGCTGAATGTAGTGTGACCCATGATCTAAGATAGATCTTCCCACCTCCAAGAACCCTGCCCTGCCCTCACTCCTGCTGACAATTCCCTCCTGGACCATGTAGTTCTGTTGCCTCAGCCCTTGGGCACTCCAGGGAGCCATGGAACTTGCCTTGGCTTCCTCATTCGAGTCCAAACTCCCTGAGGACAGACAGTGTGGTCTTACACTGAGCCCATAGGAAGGAATCGATGATGTCTGATAAGCTGGAGGAAGAACAGGAAAAGAGCCACGTGCACTTCCAGGGTCAGAACAAACAAGGAAATGGCCAAAGGAGTCCAAGTTTTATCAGGCATTGCATGCATGCAAGCACGTACACAGCAAGGCCAGCTAATCTGAAAAGCAAAGAGGCCTTAGGAAGCTGACCTGGGGCAGAGAGAAGTCCCCATCAGGAAGAGCCGGGATCTGGTAGACCAGCAGGATAGAACATGTATCAAAGAACACCCACTTCCCAAAATCCACAGGTTCTGCCCACTGGCATAGCTAGAGACCAGAGAAGCTTCAGGAGGGGCTCCCTTGGTTAACTGAGAAGTAAGTGGCTCTGTGGATCTGATGCAGGATCTCAGCTGCTTTGTGTCCTCGTGACTGACACTGCCATTTACATTTTCCTGCAACAACATGCCTGCTTGAGTCATTAGCCCTTAACACGATGCTAAGTGACCTTGAGTCATTAGCCCTTCAGTGAGTCACTCCAGCAGGGTGGGGCTAGCTGACGGGGATATGAGGCTTCTGGAGCCTTCATTATGCCTAGTAAAACTTTCACAATAATCCTGATGGCATCTGCAGTCTCATCGAGTCACCTGTCTTCTGGGCTGGTCTCTTGGGCTCCTTGCAAGAAATCTTTTGGCTCCTAAGATTTGGCAGAGCCACCTAGAGTGAGGCTGCACTTACGAAGGAAACTTGCTCTCTGAGCTGAAAACAAGGACACAGGAAAGAAATGGCGAGAGCTCTCTTAGGCAGAGCAGAAGGGCGGAGGTTTTGAACTGGGGTCCTCACCAAAAATCTGGAGTGTGGGGCTGTTGGATTGTACCTGTGGCCATGATTGCTTTTCAACACCAAAAATAGCTCTGGAGCCCCAGGATGCCTGAATTTAGGGTTCCATATATGCTCTGCTCAACTCTTCCTGCTCAGAATTACAATTACCCTAACCCTCTGCCATGCAGCAGTTTACTCTGTGTTTAAAATCCATATTGTATCCATTCCAGTCTTAGTAGCTCTACTGTATGTGTGACAGGATTTTGGTACCAAAAAAAAAAGTAATGTTATAATTTTGTGATCTTAGGGTCCTTCACCCATGTTCCCCGTGTAGGGTGGCTTTCCAAAAGCTTCCATTCTTCACCCCATGACTTAGTTGTCTGTTGGAGTTTGGCAAAATGTGAAGATAAAAAGAATTGCCACCCCATAGTAGAGTTATATGAGGAATGAGAGTTACCTGAATGAGAAAATCCACAGAAAGCATTTGGCACAGGGCAATGCTCAAGGGGGACGATTTTGCTCAACTCTGTCAAACTTTTCCCTTTGACCTGTCCATCTGTTGATACAGAGCCTCTCCATGGTTACGGAAGAGCATTATACTGAGCCTCATCCTGGTTATGAGTGGCAGAGAACTGCTTTCCTGACAGGACATTTCCCTGATGCCGGAAACACTGGAAAAAGTTGACAAGTGGCTCCCTGCACTGGGAATGGTGACTCATTGGCATCTGGAATACAGAGATTTCCAGAACAATGGCCACTAACACTGGATAAAATCTGTGCCTAAGAAAGGACATGGAGGAGGGGCCCTGGCAATTACAGTGCCCTTCCCAGAAAGCCCTTCCCTTTGCTGCCCAGGAACCTTGGACAGAGGACATTGGACACAAGTCTCCCACCCTGTGCAGTGCAAATAGGGAGCTGCTGACGGGATGAACATAAGGAATGTGGGACAGAAGTCAACAGCAATGCCCTACTGAGGAGAAAAAAAAAAAAAAAATGCTCCTGAAAAGTCAAAGTATGAGAAACAAAGAATACAAAGGAGCTAAATCCATTCCCAAGAACTTCCCCATGCTCTCTCTGCTTTAGGGCAAAGAAAAGCTGGTTGTTCTAGAAACAGTTTCCCTATCTGATGGGAATAAAATTACAGGCTCTGAGCATGGTGTTTCTTAGTCCCTCCTGGTACCTCTATCTGATGAGGAACTTCTATTTTCCCGAAGTTAAGCCGTCCTTGACATTGTACCTGGAGGTAAGTTTTCAATTCTAGGCTACCTCAGCGTTTTTTTCCAAGCTCTCAGATTTCACTCTAGAGGAGCACTTGCTACTGATCTCCCGTTCGGGGTAAAGGGGAAAAAGAGAAATTGGGCAAAAGGTTTGACTTTTTTCTCTTGAGTTTCTGCCAAGGCTTCCACTTCATTAATTGCCACACAGATCCAGCCAGAAGGAGACATCACTGCCCTAAGCCCCAGAAATCTTGCACCCCACACCCCAACACGCATCCGTCACCTAAAGCGGAGTGACAGAAAGCTAGCAAGAATGAGGTGAGACAGGTACACACAGAGGTAAGTATAGGGACAGCCGGATACAGGTGGGAGCAGAGTGACCCACTTCAGTTTCTAAAGCCAAGTGCAATAGATATTTACCCTGGACGGATAGCCAAGTGCTAAGGCTAAAGTGCTTGTCAGGACAGTGAAGTCGGGGAGCCCCAGGAGCTGCGGGGGTGGTCCAGCCTCTCCCTGGGCATGCCATCTCCGTCCCTCCCTCTCCTGGATGGACCCCAGCACTCACCTCCTTGTCCCTGCGGGCAGCATCCAAGGAGACCGAGGCGTGGCCCTTGTGCTCGTCCTGGCCACACTCCTGGCAGATGCACTGCCCGTCGGGGCGGCAGAAGGCGACCAGGGGGCTGTGGTGGGCAGGGCAGGTGCGCAGGTCCCGGTCCTTCACAGGCTCGGTCAGCTGGTGGCTGTGCAGTTTGCTGTTCTCCTGGTGAGGCCGCAGGTGCTCCTCGCAGTAATTCACCATGCAGGTCAGGCAGGACTTCACCGCCTTCACCCTGCCAGTTCCGAGGCAGAAATCACACAGGATCTCCGCCTCCCCCTCAACGTCAGGACTCCCCTGCCCTGCAGAGCCGCTGCCCTGTCCCTCTGTCTCCTCCTGAGAGCTCCCCGGGGAGCCCATGTCCTCTTCTTCAGCCGGGCTGCTCGACCCAGAGTCTGGGCTGACAGTGGCCAGAGGGTGAGCGGCGATCCCGGGCAGTGGCCCTGGAGCCATCAGATCCAACTCAGCCATCTGGAAGACTGGCGCCGGAGCGGTCCTTCCTCTGCCCCTTGGCCCAGGATCTTGTCCAAGCCAGGCTAGAAAACCACGCCTAAATGATTGCAGCTGTCACGGGAGTTAACTGTTTCCGCCCTCCCTCCCGGAGGAAGCTCAGTTAATCATTACTCAGTTAATCATTTCTTGGATGGCCGCCGGCTACCGTGATCACAAGGCAGCTAGGTTCCTCGGGCTGAGGACGGCTGCTCACAACGTCTCCCCAGGGGCTCAGGCCCCTCCTCGGGTCCAGCCCCGAAACTTCTATTCCTGCGTGAAATCATTCACCCCGTAGGCTCAGCCGAAGACCACGTGGTTCGGTGTCTGCTCTGGAAAGAATTCGAGATTCCCGAGGTCTGCCTTAAAAAGCCTGCGTTGCTTTATGGGGCTTCATGGGCTACATTTTTTTTTGCCTTTTTTAAAGGGATCTAAAATGTAAGGACTTCAGCGATAGGGCAGCCCTTCGTCCCTTCCCATCTCGTAGAACTGGACATGAGGCCATCTAGGAAAAGGAGGATACATGCCCCTGACCCTGACCTTGTCCATACCACCTTCTTGCAAATGGGTGTTCAGGGGGATTAGAGGATCAGGGAAGAACCTGTCTCCTTCCACATAAAAGCTCCATTCAGGGGTGCCTGGGAGGCTCAGATAGTTAAGCGTCTGCCTTCAGCTCCGGTCATAATCCCAGGGCCCTGGGATCGAGTCCCGCATGGGGCTCCTTGCTCAGCGGGGAGCAGCCTGCTTCTCCCTCTGCCTCTCTCTCTCTGTCTCTTATGAATAAATTAATGGGGGCACCTGGGTGGCTCAGTTGGTTAAGCGACTGCCTTCAGCTCAGGTCATGATCCTGGAGTCCTGGGATCGAGTCCCGCATCGGGCTTCCT